TGTTTACATGGGCGCAGTATAACCATTATCACTGTCTCCTCTCCTCCTCAGGTTATGCCCGGATACTTTTTGCCTTTGTGGCGTTTTATTTCATGCCGACCTCGCCCCTGGTGGCCTCCACCTTCTACCTGCTCAGCGGTCTGCTGGACGCCTTCGATGGACACGCAGCCCGGGCGCTAAACCAAGGTGAGACTGAGGACGTCCCAGAAGAATGTGACTGATTCTCAGAATAGGCGGCGGGGTGTATGGGGGCATCATGCAGGATGGCGGGGTGTATGGGGGCATCATACAGGATGGTGGGGTGTCTGGGATAATGGCTTCCTCCTGATGTCACGGCACACTGGGAGCTTCTCACAATGCTCATTAGAAGCTGCAGCAAGTCAGATAGAGCCCGCCTCCTTTCCTGGCTGGAGGACATCCGACATCATCTAGTGCTTTCCTCGCCAGACTGACTGTCCCTGGCCACGCCCCTTTTCATTCAATGGATTTAAGTTCTTTCAATCATGGAGGCTCCGCATCACACGTGGCTGTTACCTAGGGTGGTGTACATTCAAATACAGCCTGTCTAGGAATGCCCGTTCCTGCAGACTGACATCCAGCCATCAAGGCATTTTGATATTTGTATAACTCCCTCCAAAAGCCAACCCACTGCTTGTATAAAGGTCTGAAGGCTCTTAAAAGGAGTACTGAGGCAGGGTGCTGTAACTCCCTCCCACCAGCTATGATCTGCCTGCATTGTATAGAGAAGCACAGAGACCCAGTGATGACATCATCGGGTATAAAATAGTGTCTGTAATGAAAGCGGAAAAGTGTTATTTAATAATTTGATTAGCATGTTGATGAGGGGGGAGGGGAGGCAGAACATAAGCAGATGAAACGTCAGCTCTTTCTCTGTAGATAGATGACTTCTGTTACACGTTTTACTTCTCAGGAACCAAGTTCGGTGCCATGCTGGACATGCTGACAGACCGCTGTGCCACCATGTGTCTCCTGGTAAACCTGTCCCTCCTCTACCCATCGTACACCCTGCTCTTCCAGCTCAGCATGAGTCTGGACATGGCCAGTCACTGGCTGCACCTACACAGGTATGGGGAACCCTCCGTGACGCCGCAATAAATATGGGAACTAGGAATGCACCCATACCGGTTTTCTGGTGTAGACTCCTGATTTTTTTTTTTTATTCTGTACTCGCCGATACCAATTACCGGTGTATTGTGCCCCGATTATCAGGAAGCTGGGCGGCGAGTCTGGTCTGCAATCAGAGAAGCGTTTGGAGAACATGACAGTCTTTGTTAGCCAAAGGGCGAGATTCTGATGTGTAGGTGAGAGTGGCCGTCGAAGGCCGTCATTTGCATTGGAAGGCAATGCTGCTCATGATCATAATAATGTATTGGACCGGCTTTCACTATAATGCAAACATCTCAGGTCGGTCATGCCGAGTCCAGGGGGAGGTAACGCAGGTCAATCACAGCCTCAGAACTACTACTATTGAGATACACAGGAATCTGCCGGCCTGTGCTGATATGCATTTCAGATGTAGGTAACCGATGTCCTAATGGACTTGAACACTGAGTGGCCAGATTATTATGAGCCCCCCCCCATCTGTACTTGGTTGGGCCGCCTCGTGACTCCACGAGATGATGAAAGGTGATGCGAGGAATCTGACACTGCACTGTTGCCCTTCTGTTGTCTTGTACCAGTCTTGCCCCTCCCCCGTTCTGCCCTAACATTGACTAGTTGCTGGCGGCCACAATTTGCACGTTCAGACTAGGGCTGCAACAACTAATCGACATAATCGATTATAATCGATTATTGAAAAAGTTGTCAACTTTTTCAGTCATCGATTAATCGGCTTCCGATTGGTTGGCCCTGTTCACGGCTCCACACACGCTGCGTGCCACACCTCCTCACGCTCGCCGCTGCCAGATCCACCCACCCGCATCCATGCTCCACACGCCGCCCCTCCTCCCCGCCTCATGCTCACCGCCCGCCCAAATCCACGATTGGCACAGGGAAGCGTGGAGAAGAAGTAAGGAGGAGCAGGTGTGGGCGGATGACAGCCGCCGACAGACAGTGTGTATATAATAATCCGGCCACTCGGTGTATATAATAATCCGGCCACTCGGTGTATATAATAATCCGGCCACTCGGTGTATATAATAATCCGGCCACTCGGTGTATATAATAATCCGGCCACTCGGTGTATATGACACCAGACCTCAGGCCTCCATATATCTGTCTAATAACGGTTACTGCTTTTGTCACCCGCCAGCTCCATCCTGCAAGGAAGTGACAGTCACAAGACGATTGACCTGAGCGGTAACCCCGTGCTGCGGTTGTATTACACCTCCCGGGTACGTCCGCAGAGTCACCCCTGACTGTCTTGCTCTGGACTCTGGAACTTCTTACTGATGTGTCTGTTTTTTTTTCTTCCAGCCTGTCCTGTTCCTGATGTGTGCTGGCAATGAGCTGTTCTACTGCATGCTGTATCTGCTGTACTTCACCGAGGGACCAGCAGGTGGGCGCTGTGTGCTGCGGCCGGGTCATAGAGTGCACAGGAGGAAGAACGGGGCTCTGTGGTCTGATTCTTGTATACTAATCTATCTCTCTATGTCCACAGTGGCTTTGGGGCCCCTCGGAGCGGTCGGCATGTTCCGCCTGATCTTCTGGGTCAGCTGTCCTATCTCTCTGGTGAAATCCGGCATCAGCCTTCTACACCTGGTCACCGCCTCCTGCAACATGGCCGCCCTGGACTGCGCCGAGCGCGCCAAAAAGAAATGAGCGCGTATACAGGGAAGTTTATTTAGAACCAATGCCGGTATAATTTATTACCCCAAGTGTTAATCCTTACACTGTATTCACAAGCTAGCCTACCCTGGAAATACCCCGAGGATACCTTCCTCTCCCCTCCCCCCCGGCTATCAAGTATTGGCGCCACCTTGTGGTTCTCCCAGGCACTGATTGTATCCAAGCTTTACAAGCGTTTTCTAGGTGGGGTATGAACGCACTCGAGGCTTGTTTTTTTACTATTTAATCCTTGGGGTGAACTATTATTTTTTATATAAGAATATGCAACTATGTATGATTTAATTTACATTGATTTTAATGTTCATGTGTAATGTCCTGTTTAGTTTATTCAGCAATTAGGGAACATTTATTTTATTTTTATATTTAAAAAGTAAATATTAAGAACCTCACGGATCTCAGCGGGACTCGGTTCTGCTCCCAGAAGCCTTTGCATCACCGATTTGTCTGCTTCCTAGACTGACAAATGCAGCGCGGTGAGCTCTGGACAAAGCGCTTTCCGTTATAATTAGGGGAGCCTGGTAAGCGGGTCTGCCAGGACTTTTCAGGGAATAAGAGAACCCGTGTAAAGGGAGTTTAGTCGCTGATCTGGGACACACAATTCTGATTCTGAAATCTATGTAGTATTGTGGACACGTGCATCTTCATGTCCATTGTACGCTGGTTGGGCCTGGGAACAGGACCCGGGGGGGCGGGTGTTACGATTTACAGATAGCTGCACAGGCGACACCCTGTTTGTATTAGTGATTAGCAAATGAATGTGTAATTCTAAAAATGACATTGTTACTGTTGTGACCTCTATGGAGTTAATCGTTCACTTCAATGTGATCTAAATGCTCCCCCTGATCACATTTTAAGGATAACCCGTCACTTTGACCATTCAGGTTCTACTGATAGGGCATCCATCGCTTATCTTCGCAGCGGTCCTCTGCCACATTGTTCGCCCACCTGAGAGCGTAGCACAATGACACAGCTCCAGGCAAACATATACAGCGACCGACGCAGATGCGCAGGCTTTCTGGGATCTGCTTTCTTCCCTCCAGGCATTCAAGCACATGGGCCGGACACTGCAGCAAGCTTTATTGGCACCAAGGCATAGGGATAAAGCACCGCTCCCTCCACAGTTTAAGCAGGGGAAGGACAGGCGGGTGCTCGCCGGCAGGAGTGTGTCCTCGCTGTAGCCAAACAGGTATATAGGAGAGGAGGAATCTGTCCGCACTCAGTTCCACGCTGAGTCAGGTTATTAGCCTTCTACACAGAGCTATGTGACAGCACTGGTTCTTGTTGATTGGCCCAGAGCTGTCACATGCTCCTCCCTAGCCAGATTACCGAGTGTTTTCTGCTCTTTCAGCAGCAGTACGGAGAGGTGGGAGAATGAAGAAAGCTGAGCATGTGCTGTTATACCAGGGAGGGGGATAGAAGCTAAACTAAAGGCACCCACATGATCTGCAGGTCAGAGGATTGTAAATGACAGACAACTGCCGATCAGGGATAAGTTGTACAGGAATCAAACCAATCGGCCGAGTGTAAGTCCCCCTCGCTGTGTCTGCAGCCCCCTACAGCAGGGATCACTTCAGTCCTGCATAGGATTCTGGGTAGAATCAGAGAACAGACTCAGGGATAAATATGACATAATCAGGAATCAGTGACATCATAATCATGCAGAAGGTGTGAAATGTGATGACGGAGTAACATTCTGATGATTTCAACAGAAACAGAGGCCTCACCATTCCCCCATCACCTCACTCTTTAGAAGAGAGATCTTATATATATATATTAGGGATGCACCGATACTGGTTTTTCGGTATCGAGTATGAGGGCCAATATTTTTTTATTCGGTATTTGCCGATACCGGAAGTCCTATTAAGGAAGCCGGGTGGCATGTAATGACTCGCTGCCCAGCTTCCCGATTAACCGGGAAGCCATCTCCATGCTCCTTCGTCACCAGGTGAGCCAGCTTTCTGGCCATTCAGGAAGCCGGGAGCGGGCAATGATTTGCCGCCTGGCCTCCTCATTGTCCGGCTTCTCCACCAGTCAGGAAGCCAGGCGGCAAGTCATTACACGCTGCCCGCCTTCCTGATTGGCCGGGAAGCCGGCTCCATGCTACCTCGTCTCCAGGTGGCGAGAAAGCATGGAGCCGGCTTTTTCTCCAATCAGGAAGCTGGGGGGCAGGTAATGACTCGCTGCCCAGCTTCCTGATACCGTAAGTTCAGGTATTGGGAGCATACTAGTATCGGTATTGGTGCATCCCAAATATATATATATATATATATGTGTGTGTTAGGGTGGAAAGCTTGCAGGGCACTAATCGGCTCTTGAGCATTCACAGTTTCTACATCATAAATTCTATTCCAACACAACCATGGCTAGTAATGTTTTGGCCTGCTGGTCACAAACCGCTGTCCCGGGATTCTTCTTGCCGTTTCCTTTGGGAGCACAAGACTCGTGCCTCAGGCCATGGCACAGTGTGAGCGAACTAACCATGTTCCTACCACAGCGATAGCTGACGCTACACGGGACAAGGATACAATAAAGCAGAGGTGGCCTTCCAGCTGAGGTGAAACTAAAAATCCCATCATGCCTCTGCCTCTGGAAGTCATGCTGAATGGCTGTCAGAGTTTTGCAATGTCTTATGGGTCTTGTACAGGTGAAACTGGAATAATTAGAATATCGTGCAAAGTTCATTTATTTCACTAATGCAACTTATGCGGTGAAACTAATATATGAGAGATACTCATTACATGCAAAGCAAGATAGTTCAAGCCGTGATTTGTCATCATTGTGATGATTATGGCTTACAGCTCATGAAAACCCCAAGAACCCCAAATCCACAACCTCAAAAAAGTAGATTACATGCAATCAATAAAACAAGGATTGTACATAGAACAATATCGGACCTCTGAAAAGTACAAGCATGCATATGTACTCAGTACTGGGTTTGGGCCCCTTTTGCAGCACTTACTGCAATTACTTTTGCACGATATTCTAATTATTCGAGTTTCACCTGTAGTTCCACAACAGCTGGAGGGCTGACATTTGGTTACCTGGTTATAAAGGCCTCCGTGCACGCTTCAGCTTTATTTGTTCTTTTTGAACACTTGCATAAACCAATCACAGCTCTTGACCAACAGCACTCGTATCAGTGATATATAGTATACATTATATATGTGTGTATGTGCTTCCTGTGTTCCTACCTGTGGAGATGACCTTCGTGTTAGTAGATCTGCTATGGATGACGATATTGGGCCTCTTAAAGAAACAAACTGTCACAGAGGGAAAGGTGTAGCAGCCTATTAGAATGTATTGGGGGGTGTTCCTTTTTGTCCAGTTTTTGCAGTTGGTCCCCATTAGATGACATCACCGCGAATATCTGAAATGTGATTTCTGTGTTCTTCCGTTACGGCCAGCGGCAGAGTGCTATGCTCTGTTTGATTGTTCCTCTTCCCCCTGACATCTATTTCTGTGTATCATTCCTCGTGTACAAGGGAACTGTGTGATATAATAAAGATTTATCATTACCAATCCTGTGTGCGTGTTATTTTGGATAAGCGGTAGTTTGTATCACAGAAGATTCTGACTTGAGCTTACACAGGGGTGTCGGAGCTGATAAATCGTTCACGGATGGACTTATTGCACAGGTGACAACCTATCACGGAACCACGCTTGTAGTCACCGAGCTCCTGAGAGCGACCCGTTCTCTCACCAATGTTTGTAAAAGTGTCTGCATGCCGAGGTGCTTCATCCTACACACCGGGGGCCATGCTGTAACTACAAAGACCTTGTTACAGGAGGGTGTCTGTGCTGTGCAATCTCTGCCTGGTCATTCACTCGGCTGCCCTCGGCAGCTTTGTGAATAGACCCCACAGACTCTATTCCCCAGGTCCCAAGGTAAGCGGTTCAGCAGCTGGGAAGGTGAACACTCCACATATAAGTGAAAGCAGACCTTGCACCACGGTGACTAAGTCTGCTGATTTCAAGGTGCCCCCTCGCCCTATCTGAAAACTCTGGATGAAAAAAAAATCCTTTGGGGTGGGGCAGTTAGATGATATACTTCCCTTCCTCCGACTTCCTCCCATGGCACCTAGACAAGCATGACGGCATCTTCTTTCTGGCCAGATCTCAAAGAATGTTACGTGGTCTTATTCTGGTGAAAGGACGTCCAGCACAGTGATATGTCGTGTTCTTGTGAGATTTGGGCTACTCGCCATTCTCGGGGATCCTATCGGCAAGAGGATGACGTCGCCCCCGCACTATGGAAGTTGGGGGAAGGTGAGTATATCTATTTCCCCCCCCCCTTACAGGTCCCTTTTTTGCTGTGTTACGCATTGTTTAAGGAAGGGGGTCACACTGAATAAGCCTACCTGGCTTGAAGTGCAAGGGCCACATTAAAGAACCCCAGTAGGCACTGTCTGTGTGCGAGGTAACAGAGCACTTTTTTTTTATTAAAAACCATTTTATGACAAAAATAAAAAGTACAGAAGTCACCTTGTGTGAATTGTTACACGTATTTCAAGTAATTGCACATTTCCAGAGTGTACATAAGTGTACATTA